TGGAACTGCATTTTCAGACAGTTGTGAGCTACCACGTGGGTGCTGGGAATTGAACCCAGGTCCTCTGGAAGAGCAGTCAGTGCTCTTAACTGCTGAGCCATCTCTCCAGCCCCTTTAATAACATTTGTTTACCATGTATTTTGGGGGTTGGCTAACAGAGTCAGGTCTCCCTTCTACTGTGTGAGGCCCAGGGACCGAACTTGGATTGTCAGGCTTGGCAGCGAGTATGTGAGCTCAAAATGCATGGAACGTTCTAGCACAAGGCATGAATCCTAGTGTAAACTTTGAACTTCAGTTAATAAAATAACAATAGCAGTTCGTTCTACAAGCTTCAGGATGTCAGGGTCACCCTGGTGGCAAAGTGTCACTTGTGCTGAACACAAGTACAGTAATGTCAACCTGGATCTAAAGCTGTGAGCATGTGGGTTATTGGTGCAGTCCTAACGGTGTTATCGTGTTCCTAGTCCTTAACAAAGGATAGAAACCTTGTTTGTTTTATTGAGACAGAGTCACAATACATTATCTAACCTAGCCAGGAACTCTTTCTGTTTGTTTAACTTTTATTTACTTTTGGAGGCTGGAGATGGCTCAGTAGTTAAGAGCACTGGCTGCTCTTCCAGAGGTCCTGAGTTCAATTCCTAGCACCCACATGGTGGCTCACAACCATCTACAGTGAGATCTGATGCCCTCTTCTGGCATGTAGGCATACATGCAGACAGAACGCTTATCTAAAAATATATATAAATAAAATGTTAAAAAAAGAAAAATTTATTTACTTTTATTTTATATGTACGAGTGTTTTGCCTGCATGTATGTCTGTCTATACAATATGTGTTTGCATGGTGGCCACGGAGGCCAGAAGAGGGAGTAATATCCCCTAGAAGTGGAGTTATAGCCAGTTGTGGGTTGTCATGTGGGTACTGGGACTCAAACCCTGGTCCTCTGCAAGAACAGAAAGTGCTTTAACCACTGAGCCATCTCTTTCTGCAGCCCCGCTAGCCTCGAACTCTTGAATTCAAGTGATCCTCTCCCTCAGTCTGAGCATCAGGAAGCAAAGGTCTTTAAGTTCATCTTCAAAGAGTAATATGTGTAAACCCAACCATTGCCGTGAAACTAAACCACAAAGCTCTGCCTAGCCATGAAAATTAAAAGACACAAAATCAGTGACCAGATCCCTCTATTTGTGTTCCAAGTACTCAATTATCTACAGTCACCAAAATTACCGCACATAAAGCCGATTAGCACATCGTATACTTAGGAGGTCCTTGGGTTTAGGGAAGCCTGCTTTCGGCGTGTTACAAAGACAAATGAGAATTTATCAAGGACTCCAAGTATTGGATAGAAGTGTAGATTTTTGCTACGGTTTGGGAGGTGACATCATTCCAGCATCCATCCCTGCACTGATGAGACCCTGAGAGATCATCTCAAACTCACCTATCACTACCTTCTTGCAGAAGCACGTGGGATTCCAGTCAGTCTGGACCACTCTGCATGTTACCTAGGAAACCATTATTTGTTTTTTCTCCAGCTAGAAGAAAAAGGGTGAGTAGAACGGCTTCAGAATCCTCTATTACGGGCTGTTTTGTAGCTCCACGGGGCCTCACTGCTTGCCTGTCTTCTATCCCCTGCTCCAGTTTGATCTGGATCTGCACTGTCCGACCACTGCCCAGACACAAGGCAATATCGGCAGAGCCTCAGAGTGTTGGGTTTTCATCTGTGCTTGCTGCTTTGTGTTTTGTGCATGTTTTGGAGCCAGTGTTTAAAGATCAGGGTATAGCTCATAAAGCCTTTATCCGCTGCCTATTCCTTTGAAAACCTGAAGTACATGGCAGTACTGAAACTGTAGCTCCTCACAGGGTAATCTGCTAGAGCAGAGCGGCTGGACACTTAGCCGGGGCACAGGGTTCCATTAAGACTGCTCATCACCTACTGCACCAAGGCAAGGCCGGGACATTCCCTGCTCTTCCCCACAGGAAGCGCTAATCTCCATTCACCAGCAGGACACTCCCATTCCTGTGGGAAGTGGTCTCTTTTCCCACGTCTGGATGAGAAGTGGAGAAACAAGACAGACAATGAAAAGGTTAAGGAAAAGCCAGGTTCTGTTGTACAGAATGATAATTTTCACCACTCACAGGATGATGAGTTCAAGGACAGCTTGGACAACTTACTGAGACCCTGTCTCAAAAAGTAGAAAAGCAGGTTATGGATACAGCTCAGTGGAAGAATGCTTACCTGGCGTGTGCAAAGCCCTGGGTTCAACCCATAGCACTAAAGCAGATAAACAAACGGATAGATAGGTAGGTAGATAGATAGATAGATAGATAGATGAATATTGTATTAAGTCAAGCATGGTATTAAATCTTAGCATGTAGGAGGCCAAGGGAAGAAAATTGTTATGAGTCCGAGGCTAACCTGACCTACATAGTGAATACCAGGCCAGCCAGGTCTACATAGTGAGACTCTGATTAAAGGGGGGAAAAAAGATCAGTCTTGGAGTGAGTGTGCAACAGGAAGCCAGCTCATTCCCTCTACTTTTCCTCATTTCTGCTCCCTGCAGCTTTGCAACTCCGAGTCCAGCCTCTAGGGACCTGTGTTCTGGAGTGTGTGCTCCACTCCGGCTTCACTCCCAGCTCTAGCTTGCTGCCTCTTTAATCCACCTGTCTCTCATGCGGCTGAAAGTTAAGGTTCTCAGTGACTCTTAATCGCTCCTCCAAACCGACCTTCCTCATTCTCCCCCTCTTCTACACATGGGCCGTCATGTTTGTTTCTAATTCGATAGTAAGTGCTATCTGTACACTGATTCTTCACATAAATGCATCAGAACACTCTGGCTCTTCCTCCCTAACCACCCCATACTCCTTAGAGCTAGTAGAACCGTGAAATAATATAGCCAATTACCTTTAGGAAAAAACAAAAGAGAAGAAAGGCCATGGTCTTCGGCTGGTTATCTTGAAGCCATTCAGTCAGCGCCCAGCACCAGGCCCACAGCTTTGCTCCCTCTCTGCTGGAATTCCTTTACCTGATCGAGAGGAGGCAAAAGTTCTCTTTCACTTTCTCCAGCCTCTTTAACCAGAACCAATCACTTAAAAATAAGAGATTTGGTCTGGGTGAACTGGTGCATGACTATAAAAAAAAAAGCCTGAAAGCAGGAGGATCAGGAGTTCTAGGCCAGCATCAGATACCTGAGCCCTGTCTCTAAAAAGAGCAGAGGCAGAAGGATTGGGAGTTCAAGGTTTGACTAAATAGGGACTTCTTCATGGGACCAGGAGGGTAAGTGACTGTCTGAAGGGGGAGGATATCAGGTGTTAGTTTGTTGTTGTTTGGTGTTAGTTTGTTGTTGTAGAGGCCCACGCCTTTAATTCCAGCACTCAGGGAGGTAGGGGCTGGTGGATCTCTGTGAGTTCAAGGCCAGCCTGGCTCACAGCCAAAGTTACACAGAGAAACCCATCCTATGTATCCCAGGCTAGCCTTGAACCCATGATCTTCTTGTCTTCATTTCCACAGTGCTTGGAAAGAGGTGTGAATCAAGCATGCCCAGTAGAATAAATACTCTAAGCTTTGCGGTTGGGGGCCATCAAGATGTCTCAGTGGGCAAGGGCACTTGCTACCAAACCTGATTTGACCTGAGTTTGATCCTCAGAAATTACATGATGGAAAGAGAACTAACTCCAACAAGTTTTCCTCCAACCTCCACGGGTTCACTGTGGCAAACACACGAGACACACACCACACACAGACACGCAGACACACACACATGCACACTAGACACACACACAGTCACACACCCCACACACCACATACACACACAACAAACACACGACACACACGTACACAAGACACGACACACAGACACGCACGCACATGACACAGTCATACACACAACACGCATACCATATGCACACACAACAAACACACACACGACACACACGCACACAGTCACACATGACACACACAAACAAATAGGTCTTTTAGATTTTGAAGATTTGTTTTGATGCATGAGTGTTTTGTTCGCCTGTATGCCATGTGTGTGCCTGGTACCCATGGAGGTGAGAAGAAGGCGGCAGAAGAGCTGTAGTTAAGGATGGTTGAGAGCTGTCGTGTGGTTCCTGGGAACTGAACCTGGATCCTCTGGAAGAGCAAAAGATGTTCTCAACCACTGAGCCATCTCACCAGCTCCTGCCACACTCCCCCACTTTTTTTTTTTTTTTTTTAAACAAAAGGAGAGAGATTAGGCACAGTGGTGCAAGCCTTTAATCTTCAGAAGGCAGAGGCAGATGGATTTCTGAGTTTGAGGCCAGTCTGGTCTACTTAGAAAGTTCCAACCAGGGCTACAGAGTGAGACCCTGTCTCAAAGATCAAACAAAACAAAAGAAAGAAAAAAATTATAGGCATTTAAAACACCGATCCCATGCACTTGGAAAGAAACGGAGGAAACCGATCTGGTGTTGGCAGAGTGCTGCTCCACTCTGTGTCCCCAAACTACAGAAAGGGACACTAGATGGGTAACCCAGAGTCTGCTCACCCCAGAAGTAGCTTGGCTCATAGTGACCAGGGACTCCACAGACTCGTCCTGAGGACCTAGAGCCAGCTTTGCTGGCATCTGTATCAGAGGTCTCTGCCAGGCTTCGGAACTGCTGTCAACAGAGTCTGACAGCTCTGGCCTCTCATTAGGGCAGGAGTGGGGGAAAGCCTGTCGGATCCCATGGTCAAGGCCCCTAGAAAAGAAAGAGGCCTTGGCCTGAAGGTGATAGTCGGGTTGAGTTAGTTTAGGTCTCTAGACCAGATGTGTAGAACAAATGGGTCCTGATCTGTATTGGCATAGCTAGTCTCTTGGCTTAGCCGAGGTGAACTGGGAAGCTGGCATCTGGGTTCATCCTGTGGCCCAGAGATGAGCCACCTTGTGAACTCCACCAAAGAGGAAGCCCCAACCACTGCCCTGGAGCAGCCCCGGAGGCTGCGCCACCCACTGCCACTCAAGGAAGTGCTGACTCTCTCCACAGGGCAAGGATGACTCGGCAATGAGAGCAAAGCTGAACGGAGCTCCTCTCCCTTTTCTCCTTTGGCCTTCCTTCCTCTTTCCTCCCCTGCGCCCAGCGATGGAGGGACTGGACAATAGGCTCTTCCTTGCGCGGACACGTAAGTATGCACCCCTCCCCCAGCCACACACACACCAGGCACAGCCCCCACCGACAAAGAGGGGCTCGGGCCTGTGATAGCCACCATGAAACTCACACAAAACATGCGGTGCCTCTTGCCATTCAGAGAGATAATCAGCGCCTGCTCTCATTTTCGCTAACAAACATCGTAGCAGGCCAGGGTTGCTGGAGTCTGTGGCCACTCAAACTCCCCACGTGACAGTCTCGCCTTCAGACTTTGCTGGCTCCCAGGGCGCTCTAAGCCCCCAGGGTTTGGGAGGGTTCCCCCAGGAATGTAATCATAAGAAAGCCTCAAATAAATGAGGTAAACGTTTCCCCAAAGATCCTGACTCTCTGAGTCCAGAATTCCCTCACAGATTTCTAAACCCACTGCCCCTAGACGTGGTGACGTACCGGAAACCGGCATAGTCAGTGGTGGCTGGCTCTGTTCCCCTCCAAATCAAAAGTCAAAACCGCCTCTTCGCTGCAGTGTTCCAGTGGTCGTAGAGGGCACCCTGTAGGCATGGGACAGGAGTGGGTTCAGTTTCCTGCTAAGTGCCAGGGTAGGCCAGGTGGGAGGTGGATTCATCTGGTGCGGCTATTTGAGAGGTATTTTCTTCCGTGGACACTGCTTCCGAGTCTGTAGGTGGCACTAAAGGTAACAATGGATGTAAGATGTCTGTGTGCAAAAGAGGTTCTCAGGAAATGGCAGCTGCACCTGTTGATTCTGTAAACCAGAGGTACCGGACCTAGAGTGTTCAGAATTACTAGCGCGGAATTTAATTATTACTATTAAAAGAATGCGGAGGTCCTGTGTTGGGGGCTGAGACCTGCAGTCCCTCTGAGGCGCCTTGAAAGGCAGGAAGGCTGGTGTCCAAAGATAACACGGCAGCGCGCGACAGAGGGAAAGTCAGGCGCAGAGTGATTCCTCTGTGCACTGAGGGGGAGGCCAGCAGAGTGCCAGGCCAAGGGAGCTTGTCACAAGTCTCTGCCTCTGCTGGGTGACTCTGACTGGAGACAGCCAAGGGGCTGCGGACCTCAGAACCAGAAAATAAGATTTTTCCTTCAGAATGTATTTTAAGTCAGATGCTTAGAGCATCGCAAAGTTTACAAGAAACATTTCTTTGTCCTTCGCTGTTTTTTGTCATGTGTTTTATGACCCTGGTGCCAAGCACTGTGCCAGGAGAGAGGCCGCGGAGGGGGTTTATCTGGAAGGGAAGAATGACACGCACCAAGAAACACCAAGCTGTCTCCTTCCTGAATAAACCAGTTCCACGTCCCAGAATGTAGCTGTGAATAGCATTTGAAAATGCTGGAACCTTTTCTATGAAAAGGCAGAGCTACCAGACGCCAGTGAGTTAGAAAATGGCTGTATCAGGGATCCCACTCTGTGGGCTCAGTAAGTTAAGGCTTAGCATTTTGGTTTTGGGAAAAACAAGGTTTTTCACAAAAAAAAAAAAAAAAAAACCAAGTTGCCACTGGTAGAGTTAATTAATAATGCCACTTTACAGCACTAATTTTTAAATATCCAGACCTTTTTTGTTTGTTTGCTTGTTTTTGATTTTTGAGACAGGGTTTCTCTGTGTAGCTTTGGAGCCTGTCCTGGAACTCACTCTGTAGAACAAGCTGGCCTTGAACTCACGGAGCTCCACCTGCCTCTGCCTCCCAAGTGCTGGGATTAAAGGTGTGCACCACCACCACCCAGCAATATCCAGACTTGTGAAATTATCAGTAGAGGGCTTGAATAGGACAAGTCGGAGATGAAAATGGAAAGCCATTTGTTTTTCAGAGAAAAGTTTACAGTGCAAATTGTGGCGTGAAAGTAAAGGGGTGCCCTCCATCAGCTTCTGCTGCCCGCGTCCTCTTGGGTGTGCTTTTAGGCCTAAGGATGAAGCGTTTTTGTTTGAGTTTTTGACATAGGGTCTCATTATGTAGCTCTAGATTACCTGGGACCAGGCTGGCCTTGACTCCCTGTCTGTCTGTATCTCCTGGGTGCTGGGGTCAAAGGCATGCACCCCCATCCCTGACTAGGATAAAGCTTTGACGTTGGCGTTAGTGTGGACTGAGCAACAGACGTCATGGTAACCAGGGAATAGCTAAGTTACTTGGGGACAGAAAGCATGTCACAGGTAGTATGTGATCGCTACTAGCGTAGGGTGTGCTGAGAACACGCGGCTGCATGGTGAGGGTCCGGGGGAATGGGATGTAGAGATTCAGATTTGCAGAATGAAAAGAACTGTGCAACCACAAACATGCACGGACCTCTCAACTGTGCATCTGAAAACGGTCAGATGGGTGAAGGAGTGCGGGTGAGCGCAGCATGGAATCAGAACACACCGTCTCAGTGACTTGGAGTCCCCTGACATTATTTACAGGGGAGAGACACATTTCTAAAATAATATAAGGCCTCCAGTCTCATGCAGTGCTTAGTATCTTTTGCGAAAAGGCTTAGAAAAGAAAACCTGTGCCCGTGGGACCATGCAAGCTTGCTGCTGCGTGGTCCAAGCTCACCGCCGAGCCTGACTGCAATGGGAAAGGCTGCTCTGTCTTCCAAGCCTCGAGACAGCCTGTTATCCTTGTCCACCTGCAGAGTTCGTTCCTACAGGATGCTCTCATGACCGCTCAGAGCTGTGCTCATCACGCAGGGTTCTGTCAGCATTTGCATTTTACCTGTGGCTAATCAGGAGTTTTTGTTTTGTTTTGTTTTTGTTTGTTAGTTTTAAGACAGGGTTTCTGTGTGTAGCCCTAACTGTCCTGGAATTAAGTCTGCAGATGAGGCTGGCCTCCAACTCACAGAGATCCACCTACCTCTGCCTCCTGAGTGCTGAGATTAAAGGCGTGCACCACACCGCCTGGCTCTGTGACTAAGTATTTAAAATATTATTATGTATGATTAAAGTATGGCTGTTCATACATTGTTTGGAAACCCCATTCACAGTGTACTAGAGCCAAAGGACAGGTAGAAGGGGCTTGAGAACCAAGGAAAGAGACTGCTAGGTCCAGATTGCCCCATGGCATTTTATTGGAGACTTAATGGTTTAAGCAGCACCAAGGCAAGAGGATCCTAAGCTCTACAAGACCTAAGCTCTACAAGAGGACGGCATCTCCTTGCTGAGCTGGGCCGTGGTCAACAGGATTGGATTGCCCTTTCTCAAAAACAATCTGGGCATCAGTGGTTGGCACGCCACGCTCGACTGACTGTCCTAATAACTTTGTTTGCTATAGAGCTTGGGATATCTGCCAGGACTGCCCAGTAGGCACACTGAGCCAAGATGACTGTAGGCATGTGGAGCTGTACCACCCTCCACCTCCCAAACACGCAACCCCCACCACACACATACTACTTCCTCGAGTAAACTGAGATCCGTGCCACTCGACCCTCACATGGGAAATGGGTCCACAGGAATCAAGCGTCCAGAGTCACGTGACTCATGAGCCAAGGACTTGAGACCCTTTCTACTTTCCCAGCCTACAGAGCCTGTGCTCTGAACCAGGAAGCCATGCGTGAGCCGAAAGAAGACTGAGCATAAAACAAAGATTCCAAGACAGCTTGTAGACAGTCTCTTGGGTCTCTCATATCATCCACCTCAAACCTCCTAAGATCCTACATAGCAATAACCAAAGAGAAATTGACATATGCTGATTTAACACAAAATTTAGTTGTTACTAAGCTGGACTTGTGAGATGTTTTAATTCAGATCTCAAAATTTGATTTATTTATGTATAGACAAGGTTCTTACCGTGTAATCCTGGCTGGGTTAGAACTTCTGGTCTCAGTCTCCAAGTACCAGGATTATAGGTGTTAAACACCTGGCTTCCAAAGTCTTCTGTTTTCCAAGAAAGATTTATTTGCCGGGTGGTAGTGGCACAAGTCTTTTATCCCAGCACCCAGGAGGCAAAGGCAAGTGGATCTCTGTGAGCTTAACAACCAGGGCTACACCTTGAAACCCCACAATTATTTATTTATTTATTTATTGGTTTTTAAAGACACGGTTCCTCTGTGTCACAGCCCTGGCTGACCTTGAACTCACTGCTATCTGTCTGTCTCTGCCTCCCAAGTGCTGGGATTAAAGGTGTGTGCCACCACCGCCCAAACAAAGAAAATATTTTTTGTGTGTGTGTGTGTTACACAAGAGGCAGCCAGAGACATAGGATTTCCTTGAAACTGAGTGTGAGCTGCCTGCCCAGAGTGCTAGGAACCAGACTCTGACCCTTGGTAAGAACAGCACACAAGGTTAACCACTGAGCCATCCATCATCGTTCCTGTCCTCTCCAAATTCTTTTGTTATTGTTTTTGTTTTCTAAGATAGGCTCTTGCTAGGTAGCCCAGGCTAGTCTCAAACTCATGGTGATCCTCCCTCCTCAGTCCTCCATGTTCTGGAACTGCCCACCTAGTGCACTGCCATGTTAGGTTTAAATGGAAAGGAAGGTGGTGTTCATTTTGCAGTGCCGAGGATTGAACCCGGGGGCCTTGTGCAAGCTAGGCAAACATTCTACAACTGAGCTACAGCCCCAACCCCGCACAGTTCTTCATATACTACTAGAGGAGACAATTCATTATTGTATATTATTAATTATTAATTATTCAGATGTACTTCTTGTTTTGCGAGGCAGTTTAAACATGTAGGTTTGACTGATTCGAAACAGATTATATAGACCAGGCTGGTCTCAAACTTTCAGTAATCCTCCTGCCTCTGCTTCTCAGTGCTGAGGTTACAGACACTTGATTATTCGTATGTACTTAAAAGTACAAATTGAAAAAAAAAAGTTAAAAAGAAAGCCAGGTGGTGGTGTACTTAGCAGGCAGAGACAGGTGGATCTCCATGAGTTCGAGAACAGCCTGGTCTACCAAGTGAGTTCCAGGACAGGCTCCAAAGCTACAGAGATACTCTATTGCTGTGGGACAATGGTCTATACCCTTGTATTTTAAACGCTGATTGGCCAGTAGCCGTGGGGCTACCAGGCAGGAAGTAGGGGTGGGGCAATGAAAACAGGAGAATG